TGCGCCGACTGTGTATTTCCTTCTCTTCGTCTTCCAACACAGCCGGCGATGCCTAGCGTCGACTGTGTCTCTCAAATTCTTCTCCTTCCTTCTATCTTCTCTCACACTCTTCTCATTCTTTCTTTCTCTTCCTCTCTTTCTCTTCTCTTCTCTTTCTTATTCTCTTACTTCTTACTCTCTCTTTATATCTTTCATTATTTTCTGTTATCCTTTTGTTTGATTAAGAAGGGTTGAGATTAGCCTCTTATAATAGTCATATTGTCTAGCCGTAATGTTGTTGTGCCAAAATTACTTTGCCCACTTTATTGCCATGACAGACAAACCATCGTGCTTAGCTAGTCAGTATCGGTATTGACGTCTAGTAGTAATCCTGTGAGCTGGTCTGAGTTACCGAGCCCGTTTTACTACCATGTCAGGCCAATTATTCACCTGCTTAGTCACTGTGCTGATCTCCCCGCCTAGTCAAATTTTTCTTTCCCCCATCTTTCTTCTCTCATTCTTTCCTTCTTCTTTTGAATGTACATGCCTGTGTACGTTCACCCAAAAGGCCAGGTGTGGTCTATTGACCCACCTGTCTTATAACATTTGCCATATATGTGTGATTGCATAAAATAGGAGAATACAAGCCAATGGAGCCGATTTCAAACTAGTTTTATTACTGGGGGGCTTTCTTCGTAATCTAAGAGGACGCCCACATGAGTCGGCCCGAGTAAGTCCCGAACCCACTTTAAATTCCTCTCTCATCGGTTGGTAATACCTGCTCTTGTTCTCAAATGAGGTTCTCGAAAGAGCGATCTCAAAAGTCCCGGGTCTCCCCTGAAACCCAAGATGCGTGCCACCCAATCCTTCAAGATCCGAAGGGTGAGATCGAGGCACCTAACCATGTCCATTTTTAAGATTTTCGAGTCTTCATAGATCTCCTAGATTTGCACTATTTTTTGAGCTTCAATTTTATTATAGGGGTGAAAAATAGACCTTTAGGTCATGATAAGAGTGTGGGCACCAAAAATATATCTTTTAATGAGATTTTGAGGTACACCTTATCGTGATTGTTCAAGGTTGACACCTTATACAAACCTTACCATTTTTTTACATATGCCAAGTGGGAAGCTAGCAAGGAACGTTCTCCAAAGTGATCAACTTAACGAGTATGTATGGCATACTCCCTCGGGAGCAAACTGTGCACTTGCTTCCCCAGGCAACACAAGGAACTTAATATGATTGTTATAATGTGGAATCCATGGTTCCACTTTGTCATCACCATATTATTGTTTTCAATAAAAACAAATGGATTTTGAGTTTCTAGACACTTAGCTCTCACTGTCCAATTTTGCATGAATTTAATTTATTATTGTAATTTTACGCAAACATACAATGCATGACTTTTCTTTTCTTTACCCTTCTTTTTTTTTTAGACAAAAAACTCACAATAATAAACTTCCTATGCAACTTACCCCAATCAAATTTTTTTTCCCACTTTTTACCCAAAAAAATATTTTTCTAGCAAATGCCTCCCCAAGTAAAAAAAAAGTATATTTTTTTGATGCAGATACCCTTTTCGTACATAAAAAATTAATTTTGGCTAGACGTTCAAGTGGGCTTACGCACAATACCAAAAGCTACATGGGATGCTAGACCACCATGTACCAATTGTTGGACCCTATTAAACTAAAAAAAAGTGTTGGACCGCCTTCATTATCTGCTGAACCGCGAATAGATATGCTTAACCGCATATATAGCTCTACTGGACCACATATATAAAAGTGTCGGACCGTCATATAAATTTTTCATACTGCATGTTTGTCCAGTAACATAAGTGCAGGACCACATTTTGTCCAGGAAAAAAGTGTTGGACCGCAATGTACATTTGCCAGACCGTGTGTTTATGAATAAATAATAGTGTCAGACCGCCATGTATATCTATCGGACCACACTTTTATCCAGAGGAGAGAGGTGTGTAAAAGTCAAGGACAGGTAGGTTAGTCTTTCTTTTATTGTTGTTTTTGGTTGGGGGAGTGGTATTTGCTAAGAAAGTATATTTTGGATTAAAAAATGGGAAAAAAAGTTTAATTGGGGTCAGTTGCTTAGGAAGTCGATACTTGGGGATTATTTGTAATTTTCCCTCGTTTTTTTATCTTGGTCCAATGAGGAATAAGTTATAGCCCTAATTTTTGAGTCTTAAAAATACTTTGTTGTCTTAGTGAATGCAATATGTGTTCATTGACATGAGCATATATAAGTGAAGTCATGGTTTAAATGAATTCTAAAGAGAGAAGGGATAATTAGAGAGCTTTGGATGGTGGAGAGCAAATAAAAATAGGAGTTAACATGTCGGACAAAATAATGGATAAAGATAAAGAAATAACTACCCCAAGAGTTTCTTAATATTTTCAATATAATTCTCATGGAGATGAGAAGAGAGGATGATAGTTTCCTGAACGAATCTTAAAAGCAAGGGATGGGGCTGGCAATAGGCACAAAGGCTAGGTTGCCTGGCCTTGAAAAATTGTGGTCTAGGCTATAAAGTGCGGCCTGAGGGCTAGGCAAGGATCCTGACCCAACTTTTTTTTTTAATTTCTTCCCTTCTTTTATTGGGTCTATTAGGCCCGAGCTGCCTTGAACGGGGCTAGGACCGGGGCTAGACCAATGTTACTTCAGCCTGGTCCTAGCTCAACCTGGCTCGGGCTGGATCTATAGGGGAATGGGGCTGAGCTAGAATGGCTAGTTGCTAGCTCTAGCAAGGGAAATTTGTGTCCAGCTATGCAAGAAAGGAAATTATATTTTTGAAATATCAAATAAGTTTCTACCAATTTTTATGAGCTTTTGCATGTTTCTTTTAAGGGTGTAGTTTGTAGAAAACTAAGGCCGTAAACAATTAATGTCAGGGGTACATTCAAATCGTGTCGAAAGATGTTGTTTTAGTATTAAAAATATTTGTGATGGTTTGAAATTTATTTTCATATCTTTTTATAAGATTTAAAGCTAAAAAAATAGTGTAGATCAAGTAGATCAATAAACGCTTAAAAATCTTGAAAGTTAATAGTTCAAAAATTTCATTACCAGATGCACTATTTCCATGACTTGAACTCTATTTTTTCTTATGTTCATACATCGTGAGGTCGAGATGCTCGATTTGAAGATTTTTGAGCATTAAAATAACTTCTAGTAAATTGTTGAGGGGTGTTTAGAGCATCACTCTTATATAACTTTTTCAAACAACTTTCTTACAAAATATATTAGTAGGATATATAAAAAAAAAAAAGGGGAAAATAAATAACCCCCAAGAATAGACTTTCTATGCGACTTACCCCCAACCAAACTTTTTTTTTTTTCTCATTTTTTACTCCAAATTTAACTTTTCTGGCAAATACCTCAAAGTAAAAAAGTCATATTTTTTTGACCAAAAGTGCCCATAGTGTCAGACCGCCCTCTTTTTGTGCCAGACAGCATGCCCAAAGTGCCAGACCGCCCATATTTTGTGTTGGACTGGCCCTATTTTGTGTCGGACTGCATGCTTTTTAGAAGCCCAAAGTGTCAGACCACCTCCACCTCCATTTTTGTGCCGGACCTCATGCCCAAAGTGTTGGACCACCCCATTTTGTGCTAGGCCACATGCTTTTCTAAAAGCGAAGTGCTGGACTGCCCCCATTTTGTGTTAGACCACATGTTTTTCAGAGGGTATTTTGGTCTTTATTTTATGACTTGGGGGGTATTTGTTAGAAAAGTTCAATTTGGGTTAAAAAGTGAGAAAAAGGGTATAGTTGGGGGTAAGTTGCATAAGAAGTCTATTCTTGAGGGTTATTTGTAATTTCCAAAAAAAAAAATCTCTAAAAGATTATTTATTTAATACCAAATTTATAATGAAAAAAATTTATATAAGGTTGCAACCTTAAAATGTAGAAATAAGGTGCGCCTAAAAAATCCGCCATAGAAAGCTGTTTTGATGTTAGAAAGCTCTCTAATTGATCATCTTGACATCATGATGTATGAATATGAAAAAAAAAAGATTTTGTATCCCAAAAATAATACATCTTGCAATACATTATCTAGACTCTGCATTTTGAATATTTTAATTTGTTTATAGATCTACTTAATTTGAATCAATTTTGGAGTTTAAAAAATTATAATTAGATATAAAAATGGATTCTTAGGCCATCAAAAGATTTTTTGACACAAAAATTACATTTTATGATAAATTGTGGGGTGCGCCTTAATTTGATTGTTTAAGGTTGCAACCTTATGCAACCCACACCCATCTATAATCTAGTATTAATAAAAGGACACGGTTTCTATGCGGCCAGCCTGCATATTGTAGAAATACGGGTTTGGCAATAAAAATATTTTTTAAATATAATTTGATCCTAATTTTAGAGAATATATAATCTTTAACATGGATATCATGAATATAAAAATAAAATAAAATTGAAGACTAAGAATAATAATTATATTAAGAAAACATTTGGATCGTTAGTTCTACTTATTTTTAGATGGACCACCTATTTGCATTTATCTTTAAGAGGGATGCTTTATACCTTTAGACCGCATATTGTAGACATGCAGTCCACAACCCACACGAAACAATTTTTCTTAATAAAAACTCTAATTTCAATTAAAGTAGTTCTCAAATTGCAATTCAAACTATGTATTTTCTTAACTAATTTTTGTTGGGTGCTGTTTGTATGGAGCCTAGGCTCTAAACAATCAAATTAGAGCCTACCTTCAAATAGTGTCGAAAAATATGGTTTTAATATTAGAGATTTTTGTGATAGTTTTAAAATATATTTTTATATTTATTTATAAAATTTAAAGTTTTTAAAATAGTATAGATGGGCAAATTTATAAAAACTTAATTTTTTTAAAAATTAACGCCCTAAAAATGAATTACAAAATAGACTATTTTTCAAACTTAAAATCCATTTTTTTGTTATGTGAGATATCGATTTGAAGATATTTAAGCATGAAAACAATCTTTTCTAGAAATTTTTTATGCAAGCTAAACTCTTCCCATTTTTGTTATGCAAACTTCCTTTTTTGGGTTTTTCGCGCTGCCGCGAAATAAAATTTAGGGTTTTCCGTGTAAAACTTTTCGCGCGGCCCTCTTCTCTCAAAACCCTCGCCCCTCTCTCTCTCCTGCCTTCTCACAATACTTCATCCTCTTCAAACGAGGATCCATTTGCAGGCTTTCATCTTCTTCAACAAGGTAAGGAATTGTTTTTGGCGGGTGTTCTTTTATGTTCTTTTGGTAGTTTTTCTGCATCGTAGTGTAAGGATTCTTCACCAAACAAGGTAGGGTTTCCTTCATACGAACCCCCACACGAAATGCCTCATGTTGAACAAGGGTATGGATTATATTCTTATGATTTTCCTGGGTTTTCCCTCTAGATGGTGCTGTTTTTTTTAATTACCAATGCAAACATTTGTTTTCCTATGATTTCCCCATGGAAATTAGATGGTTTTTTATTTTTGGCTTATTCTATTGAGTATAGAAACACAATTTGGTCTATAGAAAAAATGTGGGTATGGTTTTTTTTTGGTTGTAATTTACCTTTTTCTTTTTATTTCTTGCTGGCTTTTTGTTGCTGTATAGAAGCCATTTATAACTTTTACAGTGAGGCTTGTTGGTATAGAAGCAATTTGCTCTGTAGAAATTTGTTGATTTTTTTTATTTCTTGCGGGTTCTTTTGTTCTACTTTTTTTTTTTTTCTTGATGGTTTTCTGTAGTTGTATAGACGCCATTTGTGATTTTTAAAGTGGGGATTGTTGTTGTATAGGGAACTGTTTACATATGAAAACTGTTTTGCGTATGCAAACTGTTACGCATGAACCAAACGAGCCCTTATGGGGCTCAAAGATTTCATGGTTCGTACAGTTCAGAGCTCAGAGTTTCATATACATGGATTTGTTATTTGCTGTTGAATTAGGGTAGCTCAGGAATAACGGGGATTTACTGCGATCTAAAACAGAGTTTCATTGGCATCCATTGAATTATAGTGATATTTCAGAGAATTAGGTTTTTTGATTCATGATTTCATGTTGTGGATGTTAATTGGTGTATTTCAGGAATATTTGGGTTTTTGAGCCGGACTTCGAGTTCTTGGAGATTTCTGAATATTGAGCTGTATTTTGGCTGTATTTTAGAGTATTAGAGTTAGGGTTTTTGATACTGTGAGGAGCCATGGGTACCGAAAGAGCAGCGGGTGGATGGAGTGATATAGTAAAGAAGGGCAGTGGTATGAGGAAGCAAGGGGAGATTGATAGGGTTTTGGAGGACTGTAAATCAAGTAAAGGGATAAGCATCGCTGTTATCGATGCTAATGCTATGATTTCTGGTGGAGAAAAGCTCTCTAATTGTGCAGAGAAGTTTGTTTCAATAAAGGAGGCTTTGGAGGAGATAAGAGACCCTGTTTCTCGTCACAAGATTTCATTTTTGCCCTTCACTGTAGAAACTATGGAGCCTTCCGAGGAATCACTGAAAAAAGGTTCTCCCTCTCTTGAATGCTTTTTCATCATTTTTTTACGGTTTCCAACTGTCTCTCTCTCTATTAATGTCCCTTTGAATTTAGAAAATCCTGCATGTTTATATTTTGACCTTGCTGGTTTTTTTGTTTAATGGGTAATTTTGTCAACAATATGTGCATCCATATATTGTTTAGTTTGTGGCTCCCATTTGAATTAACAGACACGAGAAACAACATCATACCAATATGTGCATCCATATATTGTTTAGTTTGTGGCTCTCATTTGAATTTGCAGACACGAGAAACAACATCATTGAATGATCATGCGCACCTCATTAGAAACTTTGTGCATCAAATCCCTGATTTGACAGATTTTATTACTTGATTGAAACTTGATAATCAAGATCTTGATATATAAGTAATATAGGGGGCTTCAGTGATTCATGCAACAAACGAAGATGCGTGTTTCTTTCTCGCATGTTAATTAAGTTGCTCATTTTATTTATTTAAAAAAAGTTTTTCAACACCTTTGTGACGGATGGGTAGCTTTTCTCTTCAATGTTGTTTGATTCTTTACTTATTCTCTTTACTGCTTTTCGGTGTTTAGTGGGTTTAAAGTACAAACCCTTTAGTTTTCTTTGTTACAAACATTAATTGGGTTATCTCAAATCCTTTTGAGCTTCATCAAGAGTTAGTAAGTTCCAAATTGTGGGACATTTTCCTATCCATATTCTTATTGTGATCACACTTGATTGTTTCTGTGGGTTATCGTAATTCTGCCGAAACCGATTGGAAACTTCTGAATTAGTGCAGTTGTGAGCTTTGCAAGGACAACTGGAGATTTACAGACTCTTTCTGATGTCGATCTAAAACTCATTGCTTTGTCATATACTCTGGAAGCCCGGATTCATGGGACTGCACATCTTAGAGATGTTCCTCCTCCTGTACATGTAGTGAATGTTTCACGATTACCTGAGAAAGACATGCCTGGGTGGGGTTCAAATGTGCCTAATTTGGAGGAGTGGGAAGCTCTTGAACATGCTGTAGAAGGCAACTTGAATGAGAATTCAAGGATTTTGCCATTAAAAAACTTGACTTTGAATGTACCACCTGCAAGTGAATGTGTTTGTTCAGAAGATAATTCACCAAAAATCACCAATGAAGCTCAATGTGAGAGTTTAGAGGAATCAGGTCAAGGTCATAGGAAGCATATAAGATTTCCCCCTAAGAAGATCGTTACTATTGAGGGGAAGAAGATGGTAGCTGATGGAATTGATGCTTCTAAAGGAGAAGTGGATGAGAATGATGAGTGGTACCCAGCTGTAAGCAGGAGCACACATAGGAGGTATCTGAGAAGAAAAGCGAGACGTGAGGCCTTGGGAAGTTGTGATCATCCAGAGATAGAGGGAAATATGGATGAGGAAGTTACACTGGATGACACTAATATTGTTTCAAAAAATGCTGTACTTGACAACACTAAGGCTCTTCAGGGTGCTTCTTTTGAGGAACCTCATTTGGTGAACAAATCTTCCAGTGAAGCTGCTTGTGCTGAGATACAAAATGGACAAATTGGAGATGGCGTTTTAGATCAGGAGGAAGATTTGGATTCTATGATGGGTCATGATGAATTATTAGGTGAGGGGTGTGTTGATGAGGTTAACAATTTCGAGAAAGATGGAGATGATGTTGAAGTTTGTACTATAGGATTGGACCATCTTGAGATAATGAGTCAATTTGATGGCAGTGAAAGCATTAATGCATCTCAAGTGGAAGATAGTAGCAGTGAGCAAAGTTGGATGTTGCGTTCTTTGTCCGACTCAAGTGTGGCATGTGTCACAAGTGACTATGCAATGCAAAATGTTCTTCTCCAGATGGGTCTTCGTCTTTTGACTCCGACTGGGATGCAAATACGTCAGCTCCACAGGTGTGCTTATTTTGTACTTGGCGGTTGTATGTCGATTTGGTTGCTTCACCATTTTTCCTTTTTCCCTTAATATTTCTGCTATGTTTTGTCTATTTATGTTAGACTTTGGCTCAACAGTGATTGAAACTTGGTCATTGTATGATCGGAAACCAGGCAAATCATTTGCCCATGCATACTCCTGCATGTATTTTTTTTTTGTGTATTTATAATATGTGTATTTTGTTTTGATTGGTTATCCATGTGAATTTAGGGCTGGCAATGCGCGTGGCTCAGTCCGAGCCTTCCCGTTGCCTGGTTGGCTGACGAGAGCCCTTGCCCTGTCCTGGGACCCTGGTCCTTCCTTTGGATTTGGCCAGGTTGGGCTGGACCTGGCCTTGATCTGGTCGGGCCTGGTCCAACCCTAAGGGCCATATATGCTGGGCTGGGGGGACTTGTGTGTTGTCCAGCCCATCATCACCCTTAATATGATGTGTGTATTTGTATGCATTTTTATATTTGTATATCTCTTTATATATGTTGTATGTATGTCAGTGTGCATCTCTGATATATGCAAATATGCATGTTTGATATTATGTATATGTACAATTTATATATGTTTGTATTTATGTCGGTGTGCATATCTAAAGTATGTGCATGGGTGCTTGTACATGTATTTATGATGCACACACCACACACATAATACATGTACACATATATGTCCTCTGGAATAGTGGACTTAGCCAACTATATCGAATTCCATCTACTTTCCTTTTTGAATTTTTTGTTTTATTTGAAAATGAGTTCTGAACTATTATCGAATTAATATTTATTTATATGTCCTTATTGTCCTCGGTAATAGTCTACTCATCCAAAAACTAAATAAAATCTTACATAGCTGAAGTAATGCTTTCTTCAATGACTTCCAAAATTATACTTGAGCAATCATATATCTACATTTCATCAGTTCACATACACTAACATATCCTTTTCTTGGACAAAGAATTTCTAGTTGATATAGGTAGGCAATTTATTTTTTTGTTAAAGAACGATGATCGGCTTGAGTTCTGTCAAAGTTCAAATTTTGGTTTTGATCCATTGTTGTAACCATGCCAGCCAAATATCTTACACCTTGGGTTCGTCTTTATCTTACCTGGAGTTGTGTATTTATTTTCACCTACTGAGTTGTTTGTTGAAACTAGATGATCGTGATATTCAATATTCACGAAAACAGTGTTTTCTATATTATGCGATCTTTGAGAATTCTATTGAAAAAGGCAGGATATTACTGTCTTACCTAAAAGATTAGTCCCTCCTAGCAATGCGACTACTTCTCTTAGCCTCTTCCCTTACCTCTTTCCCTGAAAAATAAAAGAGAGATAAAAAAAATGATATTTTTGGTAATTGTCATGATGTATAAGTTTGTTGAGAACTTCTGAATTGTTCCTTGGTGTAGGTGGGTTTTGAAGTGTCATGCTTGTAATAGAGTGACTGCAGAAATTGGAAGGATATTTTGCCCAAAATGTGGCAATGGTGGGACTTTACGCAAGGTTGCTGTTACTGTTGGTGAGAGTGGTGTTGTTCAAGCAGCTCGACGGCCACGTATTATACTCCGAGGCACAAAAGTGAGCTTATGCAAATGCTGCATGTTTTATGTTCTGTTTGAATTTGAAACTGGAACTTTTGTTTCTTCATGTGCATGCCTGTGTCGGCCTGACATTTGTGTGTGCTTGTTGGTTGTGATCTTTGTGTGCTTGCATGTGTTGGTATGCTCCATGATTGTTTGCGAATAGGCTTTGTGCCCTTGTCTGACGACATTTGTGAAGATTAAAAACTTTATTCTTCAGTCGTATCTTAGGCAACTTTGACATGGCTTTTTGTTTTTGATAATTGACATCACAGATGTGTTGATATACACTGTTTATATGTATGCGTCCATGCATTCACATTGTAAATTTACTAGCCATAGCGACACACAGAACCACAGTTGCATATGCGCATCTAGATAGATGTAATGTCTTCATTGTCATTTCCCCATGTGGTGAGGAGAAGTTTATATCTCTCCTCGTTTGATTGGTTCTACTTTTTGTCAGATTGATTTTGTTCCAAAATATTGGAGTGGTTATTATTTGTGTGTATCATGCCTTTTTTTCTTGTAGTTTATAGGACTATGATCTGTTTTAGGATTTACTGCATGTGTGTTTCTGTCAATGCCTCTGTGTGCATGCATATGTAAGTATTTTTTTTTGTAATTCATGTACGTATGATATGTATATTAATGATTCCATGCATATATTCTTGCTACCACCCTTGATGTTGATTCTCTTTTTCTTTCTGTAGTTTTCGCTTCCTTCGCCTCAAGGTGGGAGGGATGCCATAACTAAGAATCCTATATTACGTGAAGATCAACTTCCCCACAAGCTCCTTTACCCAAAATTGAAGAAGAAACCCGCAAATAAGGTGAGGTTATAGAACGTGGTGGGTTAAGAAAGTTTTAGGATTTTATTAATTTGGTGTGGAATGTATGCTATATGATCTGGATTTGAATTTCATTAGCAGTTCTTTTTGTTGGGTGTGATTTACTGACATCCTTTGGTAAATAGGGGTTGGATATTCTGAGTTCAGATGATGTAATATTTCATAGTGCCGACAAAAGAGCTTCATTGAAGCCTCCTGTGAGAAAAGCCGTGGCACTTTTCAGCGGCAAACGGAATCCCAATGACAACCATTTCTCACGCGGTAAGAAATAAATGTCATTTATGCTCTTCAGAAAGAAATACAAGTCTGTCACTTTGTAGTGGCTTTTTCTGTAAATTTTTTATTTTTGTTGAGTGAAAACAAATGAGGAGTACTGTCCTTTCAAAATTTTGGTGATTCCATTTGTGACCATGTCACTAGAACAATACAATTTTGAGCATTCCTTCCTTCACACATTTCTGTCTCAAATCTCAATTTTTGATGGAAATATCTCATGTCACTAATATGCTCTTTGTGGCTGCTACTTGAATTGGACATGGGTCTAATAAAACATCTAAAAAGTAACTGCATATTGGATTTTGCGTTGAAACTTGAAATGCCAATAACTCATATGCTGCCATCTCTCTCTGTCTAGAGAGAGAGAGAGAGCGAGAGAGAGAGAGAGAGAGAGAGAGAGAGAGAGAGAGAGAGAGGAGGGACGGACAGTCGGATAAGAAAAATAGATACATTAGAGGGAGGGAAGGGCACAGAGATATACATCGTATATGTTACTGTTGCATGCTTATATTGCAAGTAGAATGGAAGTGTGGTCTTTCAATTGTTTGATGGATTCCAAACCAGGTGCTTCAAGGCCATATATTGTGTTATCTCTGAATTATTTTATGACCCTTTTGATTTTTGAGACCATGGTTTCCATTTGAGCTGAATTCTCAGATTTGGTTATCATGTTGGGCTTGCCAAGTTTTTTGAGTAAGGAATCTGTCAGAGGTGTACCAGAGTCTGCCTATCAATCCTTCTTTTCATGTGATCATTTATTCTTGAGCCTAAGAACATGAAACTCTCAGTTGCCTGCCCTATGCTGTGGTGGTTGTGCTAATATGCACTTTCATGTAAGATGCGGTTCTTTCCCTACCTCTATATCAATTTATTAAAAGGCTTGTATGCTCTAATATACAATTGTTAATCTAGACTTGTGTTCCAAGAAAGATCCATGTGCGTCCAAAGGGTATGCTTAGACAATGGACACTAATCTTAATTTTTACAATCCATATTACTGAAATGATAAGGATGGGGCACATGCGCATACATGTCGGTTACCAAATTCTCTAATCAACAGTTAGAAATGTTTTTGATGGTTGAGCTGCCTTAGATAGCATGCTAAAACCATTATTAATCATTTGCAGTATGTCAACATTTCGACATTGCAATGCTTGTAAATATTTCTTGATAATGATATCCATGAACTTGAAGCATGTAGGGTCTGGCAGCTAGAACTAAGAAAACACCGGCAAACATTACTCTGAAACCCATTCCTGTACTCCTCGCAAACCATGGGCTCCCGGTGCCAACTGAACCTTCTTCATCATAAGCGGTAGCTTGGTCGAGTGATCACACTTTGTTAAGAAGTGGAGATCTATATAGATATTGGTTTCCAGATTATGTTGAGGCACCGAAAGTCTCCATTTGATTGATGGAGGGAATGGGTCCTGATAGATAGCTTAAGAATGTCATGGATGGAATGCTTTGAAAGATGCCACTTGTAAGTAGATTGCTTGAAAGTTCAAGAGGCTCCAATTCCTGCCATGCTATGATCTTCTCAGGGATCTTTCCAGTACATGTGGTTGCTGGAACAAGTTAAAAGCCACCTAATCTAATAAGCTTGCTACTTCTTCTGAGATTGTCCCAAAGAGGTTATGACTTGAAATGTCTATGCGTGATATGAGGAAAAGAGTCCTACCATATTTTAGCATCTGACCTTTTGTTGCAATTGACAAGCACCTTGTTGAAATAGTCGTATAAGAAAAGTCATAAAGGTCTTGTTGCTATGATTGCCATAGCTGATGAGTTGTTCAAGGTACGAGGCGTGTTACCCATTATTTTGTTAATGACAAGGTCCAATACTCGAAGAGAACTTAAGTGTGAGCTTGCACTCTTGCAGAAGTTCATGTAAACATGTTTGATCTCAATCAGAGAATGCGAAGGGATAATACGTTCTCTCCGATCCAAGTGGGAATATGTACTGGTAGTTGGTTTGAAGCGACTAATAAATTTCCCAAGCTTGAAGGGATCGTACCTGCCGACTCATTACCTGAAACATCTAGGAGATTCAAGTTCCTCGTTCCTCCTATAGAGCTGGGAATGGTTCCCGCAATGTTGTTTTTGGAAGACTATTGACTTGTATAAATAGTAAAAGATATTACAATAAAGTTAAGCTGCTAGAGGCATCCCACAGGCTGGGTTCTCAGGTGTACACTGCTTAAGCAGCACACTTAAAGACGAAAAAGGCAGAAAAGCCACAGAGAGAAGAAGAAAGAAAACAATAAAGAAGGAAGGAAAGTAGAGAAAGAAAGAAGAAAGGTAGAAATGGGGGAAGTAGCGCCTAGGAAGTTGGCAACTCCAAAGAACCAAAGTGGCAATGTTTCCCACAATGTTATTATTAGACAGCAAAAAGACACCCAATTTGGTCAGAAAGGAGGGGATGGTGCCAGTTAATTATTCCCAGAAAGGGCAATAAGCAAGTCAGCAACGTCTCTCTCATGTCTCACAAAGGAGGGACCGTTTCTTGTTATATGGTTATTTGAAATGGACAGATGCATAAGGTTGGGCATGAAGGGGATGGTTCCTTTATATGGTTATTTGCAATGTTGAGCTGTAGTTGGCTCAGAGTCATGTTGAAAGGTATGTTCCTCTGATATGACTGCCAGAAATTGATAAGAAAATTGGTGGTTTTTATTGCTTCACCAATCTGGGATGAAATAAAGAATTGATATTCTGAGAGGTTCATGTAATCTAGATTAGGATATGTCTCACTCAGGATGTTTTTTCTCTTGTCAGAATCTGCCAAGCATGTGCAATTTCTCAAGCTTTCAGGGAGCTGCCTGGAAAAATTGTTATCATTGGACGTGTCTTACATAGTTTCCTGACGCTATGCATTTGTGTATGTAGGGAGTTATGGAAACTATTATTTGAGAAGCCGACATTTTGATTTTGATTCTATTGCCCAAAATCTATTGGAATTTCACCTGAGAAGTTGCTGCTATAGGCATCAGTTTCCAGGCCTTGCAGGGGAGATATGCTGCCTGGTAATGAACCTCCAAGGCTCAGTTAAGCTGTTTTAAAAAAAAATGAGCCTCCAAGGCAATTCACTGAGAGGTCAAGAGCTTTTAATGACCTTATGTTTCGTACCACTTGGGGGAAGATCTCTAGTGTGTTGGTTGTGAAACAGGTTCAAGAGAGTGAGCTTAGTCAAGTTCCCAGTAGAAGAAGGTATGGGATCCGTGAGAAGGATTTCATTTCAGAGAGAATTCCGCTAGTTCTTTCATGTGCCAAATTCAAGGGGATATGAAACCTGCGATCTTGTTCCCAAATATATAGGGTAGACCTAGAACAACACCGATTAGGAGGTGTGATTTGGTTCAATTAGAAGGCTCTAAAAGGGCAAGGAGAAGGCCTTAAAAGACATGGACGGACCTAATGAAAAGGGAAATGGTGATTTACTGTCTAACTGAGGGTATGCCACTTGATAGAGTGGAATGCGAAACATGATTCTTGTAGCTGACCCCAAATAATTGGGATGATGCTTGGATGATGATGATGATGATGATGCTAGTGATGACCATTTTTAGGTGGGTTTTTCCTATGAAGAAGTTATCCTATAGTTGTAGGCTGTTAGGCTCCGTCATGTTTGTAAGGAAATATGTAAAGATCTCACCAGTTATTCTATTTGCAGTGGTATTGAGTTGAGAAAACCTAGGAAGCCAAATAAGAATTCATTTGACAACCATGGGCGGTCTTTGCCGTCGCAACTGGCCTAGGTAACAGGGATTGGTCCTTTTAAATGGGGGTTTTCAAAAATCTCTAGTATTTGAAAATTGGAAATGGAACTGAGCTGTTCTGGAATTGAACCAATCCGAAGATCTCTAAGGCTTGGGAGGTTCATGAGTTTGGCAGGTAAGGTAGAGATACCGAATGTTTTTCAGGCCATAAACCAGTAGAATTGAGATTGAAATAGAGAATCCATTAAAAGAGAGATTTAAGAAATTCAGGCTGAAAGATTACTTATATTCAGTGACCATGAATTCAAAAGACTGGTTTTACAATTCAGTAGGTCTTGCCTCAGGGAGGGAGGGAGAATGAATTCAAAAGATTGGTTTTGCACAGTAGGTTTTACAATTTAGATCGTCTGGATCGGTGAGGGAAGGAGGGTTTGTAGATGTAGTGTTTAAAAAAGCGGAATGGTGTGGCGGATTGTCCACCCCTAATCTTGTTCTCAATTGGTTGGTTCGGCGATCTGGATCGTTTGTAGATCATCTGGATCGGTGATTTAAAAAAATTAAAAATAAATGAAATAAGATAAAAATTAAAATAGTGGTTGATTGGGTGGGGATTGTGGAGAACGATGGACAACCTTAGATAAAATGAAAAGCGGGGGGGGGATTTAGGGCGAAACAGGCCTCATAGCATTCGGGAACAGGTTTGGTTCTGATTGATTTTGCATGCGAATCTGCGATCCGGATTGGAAATCCTGTTTTTAAAACACCGGATGCACCTTGCTATGTTCTTGCTGTCCCAATGGGGAGTATACAAAGGGACCGCAATAAGATTACTGGCAGTGGCCACCAATTCGACACCTTCTCAGCGTATATTGTAAAATTGTTAAGCATAAACCATCCAAAAGAAGAGATCAATAGTCCCTCAGGAGACTCAACCCTTAATATCATCTCGGCATGTAGACTACGAAATCCTTCGAGGGTATGTTCCCTCACGCATTGACTGATATTTATTCTCGTCGCACACTGTCATTCCGATTTCTTCTCTCCAAGAATCAAGTTTCATTGCTCTCATTCAAAGACCTTTCATTTGAAGGACCCGAGAATAGGAGCACATTGCTGTGATTCAGCCCATTTGAATGAAGATCACTGCTGGAGCACCCCAGGGTCTGCGATATATGGGTGAAGGTTATTGAAGGACTTTGATGAGCTTTATTTATGGCTTATTGAAGGACTCTGATGAGCTTTATGGCTTAGAGACAGAAGTAATAAAAACAAAATTCAAGAATCCTAGTATTGAAAAGGCAACAATAAAAATATTGTTTTTTCCCTTTTCGAGATAAGAAAATGTATATTATATATAACAAATAGTAAAGTGTCAAATATACCATTATATCACTATTATATATACAATAAAAAAACTACCACTACCACATTGAAAGGTGAGGACGCAAGTACATTTTCAAAAGTTCCTTTCCCTCTCAAAATTCTTTAGGAAGCATATCTGCTGTGTTTTGTCTTGTCTTGGAGTGAGTGAAAGACTTCGCACGAATCAGGATCTTTAAGGAGCAAAAGCTGCCATGTAGTAAGATACACTCCCAGTGGTATTTTGTGGAACCTTTGCTTTGAGGAGCATCAAAGGAAGGAGATGGAGATAGTGGATCCAGAGGCAACAGCGAATGCAAAGCCTCTAGTTTGATGGCCTGAGCTTCTGATGATGAAAATTTGGCCCAGGCGAAAAAAGACATGTCTAGGCCAAAGGCCCTATATTTGTGGGATGGGTGCCCTCTGTGCAATGAATGGTATAACTATGTTCGCAGGGCTTGAAAGGTGCGGTTTTAGTCTTTTTTTAGCATAAATGCACAGCTTCACACTCACCGCATCCATGCATAACTCAATGCAAATACCTATCTTATTAATATTTTTTTTTTCTGGGCACTAATTTCATGCAACAGTTACATAGTAATATGATGCAGCAACCTTCAAAAACCATGTTATGGTCATTTGTTTGATCTAAAATTTAAAATATACATTATTTTTATTCTAATGAATGATCACAAAAAATGAAAAAAATTGAAAACACAATTTAGAAAGTTTTTTCTTACCCCAATTAACATAGGCCGTTCATTTTTGTGAGATGTTTAGATCTATGTTTTAGAATGATTTTTCATTTCCCATTTTTTTTGGATGGTTTTATTATCATTAGATAAACAAAGTTAACAAAAAAAAAATGATTTGGAGTTTATAAAGGTCAAGATCTTGAAATTCACCAAATGAATGGTCTAGATTCATTTTTGGAGGGGACTCATTTTGACCATATTTAGGATTCAAATTGAATTTTTGTTTTTTTGGGACTGATTATTGAGATGAAGAGCGAGTGTGCGTAAAATTTTGGATTATATAAATACTATAAACATGGTTTGTTAGAAGTGTCGTTGCATTATACTATGATACAACTGTTTATTAGATCGTTGCTTTTTTTTTTGTTTTTTTGGGTAATTTAGTTGGGATGACAGCCTTTACCCGTTTTTTAATTAGTTAGTGGTTTTTGAAGCTGACATGGGCAAATGTGTTTATATTTTTTACACTTAGTTGACACATCAAGGCACTTTAGACGTCGAGACACTTTTCAACGCCTTTTCAAAATCTAAAAATAAAATAAAGTATTGTCTGATATCTTGCATCTCTGTTTTCCTTAAACAATGTAAAGGTTGAAGAAGACGGAGGTGGGTTTCTCTTTCTCTCAAAAGCCAAGCTTTTCAGCTAATTCATATTCAAAGTTGACCGCAATAGTCTCTCTCCCAAAAGCCAAGCTTTTCTGCTAATTCATATTCAAAGGTGTCGGCAATAGCGCAAAATTACGATTAACAAAATTTTCATAAGTTCACAGATTCGGTTAAAACGTTTTTGCTCGAAAGTTTCATAAATTTTCTGCCCACAAGCCATTTTGGCTTTCAACCAGGACGTCCCGCAGGCGCCCCCAATGCGTTCTCGCTTTAATTTTAAAGGAAAAAGTTGGATCTTTATATATATATATATATATATATATATATATAGTAGT